ATGCTTTTTGTGTCTTTCCTTGTGTATCATCACACAATGTCATGGAGACACATATATCTTGTATAGGATTAGTTGTGGTACAAGTCGTGGACTCCCATACATGAGAGTAGATGGTCTGGGGTTGCCTCCTCTCTTTTACAGATGATGTATGTTGGCAAGAACCTACCTCCGCCTTCAAATTCTAATCTGCTTTGTGTGTCCCGTTTTGAGGTGGGACAGACATGTGGAATCTCCACGGGGTAGGTTGGCATTAATGATTGCCCCAGGTCTCTCAGCCAGGTACCAGTGGTGAGGTAAATTAAAGAAGTCCTCCTTCATTTTTCTCTTCTGGCTTGACTTGAAATAATAAAAGTCTAGTTGAATGCTTTTAACTGTAAGCAAAAAACACTTTAAAAAAAAATGTGCCAATGGCCCCGATTCTTGCAAAAGTCCAACCCCACCAGCGAGTGCAAGTTACCAAACAGGGGTCTGGCACATTTGTAAGTGCAAAATCGAACTGCTTTTCACATGTGTAGACATGTGGTGCACTTGCAGTGAAAGCATGATTATCATGGTGTATATAGCGTGTACTAGGGATAAAAAAAAAAAAATGCTTTTGCTAACTGCCACAGGCTGACTGAGGGAAATCAATATGTTGTTGTTGTTGTTTCTTATCCCCTTGTGTAAAGATTACACAAAATCTCTCCATGAGTTCAGGGAAATCAATATGGTAGAGGAATGTATAGAGGTTGTGCACAACTGGGTGGTGTGGTCTCCAGGCCAACCTCCGCCTCTACCTTACAGACCTGGTGATAGCCGCCAGGCAGCTCAACCAGGAGGCTTCCGTCTTCCTCACCAAATCCTCCGAGGTAAGTTTAGTCTATCATTGGAGATAGACACTCTCTTCAATGATCCCTATAGTCAATTCACACTAATTGGTGCTACTCACTGTGAAGACAAAACTTAGTCCCAATTATCTCAAGATACCTAATTAGCTAATATGTATCCTAAACATACTATCAACATTCTGTTAAATAACAAACTTATGTTTATTGTGTTGAGACTAATTTTGGTTCTTGCCCCAACTACTGACATACTGTTGATTAGATATGCACTCTATAACACAAACATCAATAGAACAATGTGAAAAAATAGTACAAATGTAATATTGTACTGGGATAAGGTGCATAAATTAAGAAAAAGGCTTCTTCTTATCGAGCAACTGAAAGTTGCTGATGGCTTGCGCCATCTATCGGAATAAATATCAACTATTCTCGTTGATTTTTAATTATTCCAGAATTGGCCAAATACCCATTCTTGATTAATCAAGAAAAGCTAACCACGGACGCGTTTCGGGCTGTTGGCCCTCATCAGCGTGGTACAAGCTGTACCTCAACGACCAAAAAATTGGTCATTAACCCTTTGCGGACCTGTGTCGACCTCAGGTCGACAAGGTAAAATGATCCAGCAGGTCGTGTCGAGCTAGGGTCGACATGGAAACTGAGCCCCCCTATATTAACTCCAGTGTCGACTTACGCTAGACAAACGTTTTATGGACATCTCACGCCATCTATGAATGAAAATTTAACTAATTTGGCATCTGCCCAATTTTTTTGTATATATATTTTTTACTTTTGAAAAATGGCGTCCTCTTTAGTGAATCCACTATTATTGATGAAGAAGATTATGAAGTTGATAGTGAGTATGATACTTTTTATGATTCGGATGATACAATTATTTATAATTATGAAAGTGAAACACTAAAAGTGTGAATGAAGAAACATGGCTGAATGTTTCTAATAACGATATAGCTCCACTTCTTCATAATTTTACCGCGCAATCTGGCCTCACCCAAAATATATCACCTCAATCTAAACCAATAGATTATTTTTACTTATTTTTTACAGCAGAATTATTAAATCAAATAGTTCTACAAACTAATAAATATGCAGAAAAAAATTTCAGAAAAAAATTTGAGTCAACATTCAACTTGGCTCAAATGGAAAAATGTAACACTAGATGAAATGAAGGCCTTTATTGGACTAATTATAAATATGGGTATAGTAATTTTGCCAAATCTGAAAGATTATTGGGCTACTGATTTTTTAACTACTCAAGAATGTTTCCCAAAAGTTTTCAACCGTCAAAGATTTTACAAATATTTTGGATGCTTCACCTTTCAGAACCTACTCCTGCTGACTCCCCTATTCATACACAGGCCCAAAAATCACAAAATTATCTTTTCTATTTGAGCAATAAGTTTCTTTCAATTTTCAAACCATCAAAAAATATAGCATTAGATGAATCGACTGTAGGATACAAAGGGAAAATATCATTCAAAACCTATAACCCTCAAAAGCCAAGAAAATGGGGATTGAGGATATATGTTGCTGCCGAATCAAAATTACATTACATGTAATGGTCCAACATCCAGAAGGGAAAACAAAAGACTGTAGTGTATGCTCCAATAGAAAGGTAAAAGGAGGAAGAAAAGAAACTGTGTTTTTTTGCAAAACCTGCACAAAAAACCTGGTTTGTGCATTGGAGATTGTTTTGAGGCATACCATACCAAGGTTGTTTATAAATCTTTTAATTTTTTTTTTTTATTTTCTCCTTACATATATATGTAGAATAGTCTTATTTTTTATATTTTGAATAAATTTGTTCACTAAATATTATGTTTTGTGTCTTAATTCAAGTTTTAAGCATACTGTATATAAAACTTGGCAGGTTGCTAATTTAAGCCTAGTCTTGCTGAAGGTTCTCACTTATCAGCCATAAGTCCGCAAAGGGTTAAGGCATCCTGAAAAATCATGAAACGGGTAGTTAAGGCCAGAATTGCGTGAGAACGCTACACAATGTGAAAAAATAGTACAAATGTAATATTGTACTGGGATAAGATGCATAAATTAAGAAAAAGGCTTCTTCTTATCGTGCAACTGAAAGTTGCTGATGGCTTGCGCCATCTATCGGAATAAATATCAACTATTCCCGTTGATTTTTAATTATTCCAGAATTGGCCAAATACCCATCCTTGATTAATCAAGAAAAGCTAACCACGGACGCGTTTCGGGCTGTTGGCCCTCATCAGCGTGGTGCAAGCTGTACCTCAACGACCAAAAAATTGGTCATTAAGGCATCCTGAAAAAATCATGAAACGGGTAGTTAAGGCCAGAATTGCGTGAGAACGCTACACAATGTGAAAAAATAGTACAAATGTAATATTGTACTGGGATAAGGTGCATAAATTAAGAAAAAGGCTTCTTCTTATCGAGCAACTGAAAGTTGCTGATGGCTTGCGCCATCTATCGGAATAAATATCAACTATTCTCGTTGATTTTTAATTATTCCAGAATTGGCCAAATACCCATGGGACAAAAATTGGTGTATGTGAAGAACATGTATAGGAAAAAAGGATTTAAAATTTCAAAACAATTAATTATTTTATTCTAGAGTTTTTGGTAGTCACAAATTGAGAAAGTCAATGTCTTGTTGGAACCCCACTGGTCTGAATGCAGGCGTGTCATGAACTGATAAAGATTCTGAATGGTGTGCTGCGGGATTTCTTGTCAAATTGTCTCCAACTGTCGGGCTAAATAGTCAACATTCCGGGATGGTTGCAAATGCCACATCCCAGATGTGCTCTATGGATGAGAGATCAGGCTACAGAAGAGTTTGGCAAGATTAAAGATAATCATAGTAACACCTGCTGTGTGTGTCCGGGCATTATCTTGTTGAGATGTAAGCCCGGAGTAATGTGAGTGGAACGGCAACAAAATAGGCTGTAGAATGACCGCCAATGGGGTCCTGCTATCAAGTGAAATAGCACCCAACCATAATTCCCTGTTGTGGACTTATGTGGTGTTCAAAAGTAAGGCCAGGATTCACACGCTGCCTAGGACGTCTTCAGACACGTTTGCAATGGTCATCGGATCACAGTAAGAAACTGGACTCATTACTAAAGACTATATGTTCCCAGTCAGCTTAGTTCCAAGTTGATCGCTCCCAACATCACTGTGGTCCAACTTGCCGGTGTACAGTTGTGAGGGGTAGGCATCGTAATGGTCGATGAACTCTTAGATTCCACTCTTTTAGTTATCTGTTGATGGTCATTTTGGACACTTGTGTGCTGGTACACGTTTGATGGTAGATAATGTTAAATCCGGTGCTATGACAGCCGTTCTGACAAACTCTATGTCCTTCTGTTCTGTTGTGTCCCTTGGTTGACCGCTGCCATCTTGACCTTGCATTCTTCCATTGTTGACCCATTGTCAAATAGCCACATCACTTCAGCACAGATGTTGCATAATTAGTTGATTTGACCAGCCAGCTTATTTCAATCCCATGGCACGACCTCTTTCAAACTACGACATAATGTTCATAATGAGCACACATCTTTCTGCAAGATATGGATGCAGTAGAAATAGGCTTACTGCAAAAAAAATTAAATGGAAATTTTGAAAATCAGCTCGTGCCGCACTGAATATTGAGTCGAGAATACTAGTGCTGGATGCTCAGTTCAGATGTGCTGGAGCTCTTGCTTTGCATAACTTGGTCATCAAATTTATATAATTTGCATGTTTGGTTGAAATGTCTTTTCATACATATTTCCATATAAATCAGCCAACTCCTTCTTGGTACGTTGATTTTTTTTTATAGAGTGTATCTGACGTTACATTTGGGTCGGTGGAAGGCTGGTTAAACCGTTTGGTTTACGACCACTACGACCCGGGTTCGATCCCCGCATTGGACACTTTTTCTGTTAAAAAAAAAAAAAAAAAAATGCTCCAATGGCCCCCCGATTCTTGCAAAAGTCCAACCCCACCAGTGAGTGCAAGTAACCAAACGGGGCTCTGGCACATTTGTAAGTGCAAAGTCGAACTGCTTTCACATGTGTAGACATGTGGTGCGCTTACAGTAAAAAGCAGTCGCTAACTACCCACCATGATTATCATGGCCTGTACCACGTGTACTAGGGATAAGCAAAAAAAAAAAAAAAACATTTGGAGCAGCTCATGTTGATTCTGATAACCTGAATACTGATGGACATGGCACCTGCCCGGTAAGCAGAAGGTTGTGGGTTCGATTCCCGCCCCTGGACACTTTTATTTTTCCGTTCGTCATTACTCTTCATAATTCATCCTTTCATACCTCATCTAAAAGGTTAGAAATAGTCGATATTTCACCTTAAAATAAAATTTTAATTTGTCGTTTAAAAGAAACTCATGCGGTGAAACTTCAAGTATCGTTTTACAATTACATGCCGCAGTGTATTATATTGTATTATTTGGGTCTGTTACATCTACTATAACTTGATTCAAGTACATGCACTATACATTGTGGATAGCTCAGCAGAGAGCGTGTGTGTGTATGCCAGACTCTAGGGCTGGAGGCGGAGGAGCAGCTCCTGGAGTCCCTCAACAAGATGGAGGGGGCCCTGCAGAACTGCTTTGAGTCCCAGGGGCTGGTGTACTTCAGTAGAGGAGGGGGCCCGGAGGAGGTGGGT